TCCGTTGCCCAGCGTTTCATCAAAAGAATTTACTATTTTCGCTTCTTGAAGACAACAAACATCGACTCGGTACCTCGCGATATCCCGAGCAAGCTGCTCCCGCTTCACCTGACTAGAAATACCTCTAACGTTGAAACTTCCTATTGATATATTCTTTAGACCAGTCCTGAATGAAGAAGACATTCTCCTTTCGCGAGAGAGCGGAGTCACCCAACTCAACCTACCTTCACCCAGGTCAAAACAGTATTATAATACAAACAGTGAAATTCGAAAGTAGAAGTCCAAAGCTAAAGGAAGTTCAAAGAACAAGGAAAACGAAGATCTGTGCTGATAGGAACTCAAAGCAATTTCAACCATGTCCTGTCAGAGAGTGTTAGCACCCACAGGGTGAAGGCAAGCCTTGTCAGAGCAGAACCTACACTTGGACGGACTAGAGCTGCAGAACGGACTTTCTGAAGGAATGCAAAGATAAGTAACAATTCAAATTCGAGACAATCAACTTAGAAACAACACCAGCTGTTTTGTAACCTGCAAACTGCTTGTAACAATCAGTGATGTACTAGTAACTAACTCCTAGTAAGCGCTTTGACTGTGCTCTCGGAAGAACGAAGGATTAACAAAATATAGAATGAACACAGTAGATAAATAATTGTGACACTCGTAAATTCTACAATATCTGGAGTCTTCTGCACAGTACATGAACAACCCACAGATTGCACAGGGAATACACAAGAGAACAGAGCGCACACAGATCACACAGAGAACGCACAGAAAGCACACCGAACGCACACCACTGCATACTGTCTTCTGAACACTCTTGTTTATCTACTCTTGATACAACTGATTGCAACGAGAGAGCTTGGAAGCTCAGGGCCCTACGCTATGCTTTTTTGCCTTGATGACCTAGACAGAAAAAAGCATAGGGATGTTTTTTCCTGTTTTAAAGACATAACCTGGGATTCGAACCCGCACTATCGCGCCCTGCATGCATCCCCCGATACACTTCGCATACATACCAATTCTTCCAAGTTGCTTCACATTATGATCTTGCATTTGAAAGCCCTATTTGAATATGCATTGTGGCCAGCCGTCTTTGATGGTACGGTACGGTAGGGATAGGTACGGGACAGGTACGATCGAGGGTAATACGACACCGTCTTCCATACCGTACCATCAAACACAGCTGGCCACATACAGCTGCCCGCAATATTCAAATAGGGCTTTCAAACGCAAGATCATAACGTGAAGCAACTTGGAAGAATGGGTATGAATGCGAAGTGTAAGGGGGAATTCATGTAGGGCGATAGTGCGGGTTCGAATCCCAGGATATGCCTGAAAAAAATAGGAGAATTGAAAAATTTATAACATCCCTATGATTTTTTGCCGTCAGATACGGGAGGCGTGACACAAACAAACAAACAAACAAACAAACACACAAACACACAAATACCAAATTAAAGCTGTGTGGACCCTGGCTAGCGCCAGACGTTACTGAAGTAACGTCTTCTGCATAGCTACGGGAATAAAGCGAGAATAATGATGTCACTGGAAATTATGTTTTCTGCGTAGTGAGATGATGGTGCATTGTCCCTCGTGTGCATGTGAAATGAAATTCACCCCCGAGATCTGACAAAGAGACAGGATCGGTTGCCATTCAGGATCCACACCATCCTGTCCGCTTGTCAACGGGATTGACAGCGGGAGTACTCACAAATGCCGATGTCGATGTGCACCACGAAACTTGTAGTCGCGAGTGTGATGCTAGCAGGTCTGGTAGCAACCACTGACACACGAGAGGACAGCTGCGGTATTCACTCCAGTCAGGGCTGCTTGGTCAACGATTCATATCGGCAGCTCGGCTCAGTTTGATCAATCAGAGATAATTGAAGATTAAATGATGGCCAAACTCCAAATTTAGAAAAAGGTCTATAAGTAGCTCGAACAACTGTGGTGTGGTGACAATGTGCCAGAGCATGTCCATGGTGTGGTGACAATGTGCCAGAGCATGTCCATGGTGTGGTGACAATGTGCCAGAGCATGTCCATGGTGTGGTGACAATGTGCCAGAGCATGTCCATGGTGTGGTGACAATGTGCCAGAGCATGTCCATGGTGTGGTGACAATGTGCCAGAGCATGTCCATGGTGTGGTGACAATGTGCCAGAGCATGTCCATGGTGTGGTGACAATGTGCCAGAGCATGTCCATGGTGTGGTGACAATGTGCCAGAGCATGTCCATGGTGTGGTGACAATGTGCCAGAGCATGTCCATGGTGTGGTGACAATGTGCCAGAGCATGTCCATGGTGTGGTGACAATGTGCCAGAGCATGTCCATGGTGTGGTGACAATGTGCCAGAGCATGTCCATGGTGTGGTGACAATGTGCCAGAGCATGTCCATGGTGTGGTGACCATGTGCCAGAGCATGCCCATTGTGTGGCCATGTACCACAGTTAACGTTCAGAGCCGCCATTCTGCCTATATTGACTACATGAATGTAGTATGTATGACGGCAATGTTCTGGTGCAATGACCGGACTACTCTGACTATACACGAGCTATGGGCCTGAATGGCACTGTAGTTCAGTATTGCTAGAACTTTAGTCGTGCTTCTCGACTATTTTATGCCTTGCATGCACTAGTACCCATTTGGTTAGGTTGCCAACAAATTCAAAGTCTGGTGTGTGGCTTATATTCCGATCGTCAATTGAGTCACTTTTCCAGAATTCCTGGAAATCTCTCTCCAGCTTCTCCCGGGCAGGCCCACATGAAGTCTGTCTGGGAATGAATGAACAATTGCAAGTACGTGTGGACAGGAGACTGCGCTCTTGAACATTATCCTTTCATGTTGTCATATGTTGCACGTTGATACTATTAGTGTATTGTAGTTACGAATTGTGTACAGAACTGTCACATGCTGCAAAGGCAGTATTGTCAAGACATGCTAGGTCGCTTGCAATACTTGTGCGTTGCGAATTACTGCTATGCATTTCGCGAGTGTAATATTCATTTGTTAGTCTGTTAGAATTACATCACGAGTGCATATCTGTTACGTCTACGTCGAGACACATTTGATGATACAGTAATTGCTATGCGTGTTCGTACCACGACATGTTCACGAGCGGAATATCTTGTGAATTGTGCTAACTTTAGGGTTCACGGATTGGCATGCTAGCGTCGCCAGCTACATCATGCACGTGACAGGCGCGTGCATATACTGTCCCACACAATCGGTCAGTGCTCAAATCGCATTTTCCCATCAATATCACTCACTTTCAACTCTACGGGATTCATTACGGTTGGCTCAAACTGCCTGAATTTTTGAATCCACACGCACGAAAGACGTCCCAAGACTTCCACCGTTCGTATTTTTTCAAACGAGTTCCGGGTTTTCCAGTAACTTTGGCCAAAGTTCGGCTAAAAAAACAGGGGGAGCCGTTGCGTTTCCGTAAAATACTGAACGGTAGAAGGATAGCCAAGGTCGAGAGCAAAACAACAAGCCATTATTTGTCAAAATCGAACAAGAAACGGCTCAGCGCATCTATTTTCCGTGCACGCGCGCGCGTACTTTGGCCGACAAGGTGTGGAGAATTTCTGAAGAAGAAGAATAACAAGAGCAGCAGCGCTCGGAGCAGCCGTGCTGGATACTTCCAATCCCGACGATGGAGCGTGTTGGCTGTCGTGAGCTGCTGAAACGACCATGACATTTCTTTTTCTTTGTATACCCTACATATCTTGACGTGCCCTAGCTCAGTTTCGGCCTCTTTACAGGAAGAATATTTTCTTCCATGGCATCAGCGGCCAAACAGCAAGAAGAGCAACAGATCGAGATTTGCAGGGCAAACAAAGGATGCGTGCAGCTACATCTAGTCAGGTTCGATGCAGCTGCGCTTTGCCAGAACCTCAGCAGATAAGAAAAGACGACAGAGTGTCTCAGATGGAACTGGATCTTTCGCCAAGACCGCCACCGCCGCCATCATCAAGTCCAGGTCAGTCAGAAAAATGCAAAGCCCGAGTGAAGTGAAGCCACTGAAGCCAAGGAAAAATTCAAAAAGCACGCTCCCCGGCTAGACTTCGAGTCGATATTTTTTTACTTCGATAGGCGCTGTCGCGGCCTGTACTGCTGTAGCGCGCGTCCATAATCCAAAATGGAGGCGCACGTGACGGGTGCTTTTAGTGGCAAGCCGTGAACCCTAAACTTATTATACAAGTAGAATTGTTGACACACTAATTGGTTGCAATGCACATGTACTTACTAGTACTTGATCCGTTGCATTATCGCCATCCGCGGCAACTCCGCTACGATCTACTTGGCGAAACTTACTCTCGCTGACAGGGTGTGCAGTCACCCTGTCGCTGGGTGCAAGCACCCCTTGACAGACACTGTTTTCACCTCCGTAATCAACAATTCTTTATTCTTTCATTCCAGCACATTGCAAGTAATTATTAGTTTCTGCTTGTTCCACATTTCAAATTATTGCTTTTCTTTTCGTTGCATGCACCTGCACTCCGCACTGCACGCGGACTTAGGCAGTCGCCATTTTAGTATCTCTATGGCTAAGATGATCATGCATTTTCTGTACGCTGCATTTTCTCTCTATGCCACGTCGTTGTGTGCATGCATGCAGCGCAAGCCAAATGCACGCACGCTGCACGTTTTGCCCAGGACAGCGATTTGGCGATCGTTGTTCGGTGTGTTCTTTGGTGTTCTTGTTGGAAACGAGTGGTAATGTCGATTAAAGGAGTTTCTGGGTTTTTGTGGTCTGCCTGACGATGGTTAGTTGCGGGACCAAGTCGCACCGCAACAACGTGTATTTGAATGTTTACGCCTTGCATATGTGTGTGTGTGTGTGATCGTGCACGTGTGTGTTTTTGTGCGTGGGCATGTGTTTGTGTGCGTGGGCATGTGTTTGTGTGCGTGGGCATGTGTTTGTGTGCGTGGGCATGTGTTTGTGTGCTTGGGCACGTGTTTGTGTGCGTGGGCATGTGTTTGTGTTTTGTGCAGCTTCAACCTGTTTACACCATGGCAGCAGGCGCAACAAAGTGTTCGCTGCTCCTCTTGTTCTTGAGCATTCTCTGGGGGACCTGCACTGGAACAATGGATGATTCGACATCAATGGCCAGTACGCCAAGTTTAGGTTGATGTGTACTTTGAGTTAGTTTTAGGGACAATATTTTATTTGAGGTTGGACCCTTTCCCGGTTTATGACCTGTATACTCTTCATGAAGATCACATTGTTTTTGTCTGGGCAATGAGAAGTAAGGATCCGTCCATAATCGTCGATCTCTTACACGAAGCGAAAACGTTTCGCTTATTGGTTGGTGGGTCTCGGAGAGTTTCCTTTTGAAAAACATTGATAGCCGAGATATCAATCCATTCTAGTTGTCAAGTCAATATATTTTCGTTTAGGTTTTGTTACAGGGGGAGGGTGATAACTAAACCTTTTCTCTTCCTCTAGGCTTCGTTTGGCCGACTTTGCTTTGTCCTCGTTGAAAAGTGATGACGAAAAAAGGTCGATTCGCAAAATTATGTTGATTTTCAATGTACGTGATGACGTGCATTTGCTAGCTATGTGTCCGTACAGCAGGGTATGCGGGACTTGCACACTCTGGTGGCGGGTATTTACGGCTGATGAAATCGATAGGAAGGGGCTTGCTCCCCACATTGGAAACGGCGCTCTTCTGCAGACTTGACTTGACACTTGACTGACTCACGACTGCCGTCCAGAGCACACGAGAAGTCCATCGAACCTTCGACTCGGCAAACTTGCAAGAAAGCACCACTCCCTGCTCAATCCACAGTGTTTCGGGGAATTCACCCCTCATCAGTTGAGCTTGAGCAGGCAGAGGAAGATTATGCCTGAAGAGCACCACTTAGGGGCCGTCCGTAAATATCGATGTTTTTTTAGAGACGATATTGGTGCTTCTCTCCCTTGACCCCCCTCCCTCCCCCCAGAAGACGCACATGTACATCTAGATCATGGAATCAATATTTTTGGATTCTCATGAAGTGCCCAGGATGTTGAGGGTCCGGTGTAGGCGTGAAAATCCCGCCGCACTCACGCAATAGCTGCATCGCCTGGGGGGAGCGAACCGGGTTGGCGCTGCAGTGCTCACAGCCATCGTGTACTGGTGTAGACAAAGCGGCTACGCTCGGGCTTGAATTTTTTCAAATCCTTGTTCAGACAGTGAAGACTGGAAACTCTTGTGGAGTTCGTCCGTGTTTGTTCGCACTGCCTCTACGTCTTGAAAAAGGTCTCCTGCAGGCATCGTTCGGCCGATTTCCACAATCAATAGCTCATTCTTTTGCTCTTGAAATTCGCCATGGGCGTACAGCTTCCAATTTTTGATTTTGTTCTCGTGTCGCGACTTTTAGCTCCGCGAACGGAAGCTGGTTTCACATTTCTTGTATAGCCATTTAGACGTCCGCGTGCAGGGATCGGCGAAACTTACATCGATATTTTTCTGATGCTCGAAAAGACGCACATGGCTCAAACCCCCTCCCCCCCAGACGCACCAATATCGTCTCTAAAAAAACATCGATATTTACGGACGGCCCCTTATAGTTATATTTTTTAAAATATTATATCGCTCTCCAGACGCTCCGTTTCCAGTGATGAAATCGATCATAAAATTAACCCTTTCCATGCCAGCATGTTTTCCTGTGTTGGCCACGCATTGTTCAGGCGCTGAGCTCACCTGTTCGAAGCTGCACGTGCATCTCAGAACGAAATTTATTGCTATTTCACTGTACCTTGATGGATTTTCACGATCCATGGCTTGTTGGAAAGATCTGGACCACAGGAAGACATTTCGGGGACTCACAGCGCAACAGGCATACCAGGGTCACTTCCATCTCCTCTCCAAGTCCCCCTACCATGCCTGAAAATAACAAATCGACTGCCTCTCATGTTTTCTTTCGTCTTCTTGCTCATTGTGAACTGATTTTCACGATTCAAACTGCGTTGGAAAGCTGAGATTCAAGCGCGTTTGTTGAAGCTGACTGCGCATGCGTTGTCTCTAGGTGAAATCCCCTAGCCCGCACGAAGTCGCGAACAAAAAATTTGAATCGAACGTCAAAAAGTGAAATTTGCGCATTCTGGCCGTTCAATTAATTATTTGTCGCCGCTCAGTCATACCTTGTCGTATCACGAAGAACGTTAAATCTCTGGAAAGCTGAGCTCAATACCTTTCCAGCGGTGTCTCCACCTTAGCAGTCCGAGAAATTTTGACGGAGTTATGACAGTTTGTACACTCGTCTATAGCGCGCGATGCACTTGTACTGTACAGTGTACATTGTACAGTCCAGGCAGAACGCGTAAACGCGTCCTTGGCCAATCGGCTCATACTAAAAAAACGCGTATACGCGTCCATGGCATGGAAAGGGTTAATTAATAGGCGATTCACACGACAGGCACATCCACGTTTGTCAAGTGCCCGCAGGAAGTGAAACGTGAGGCCGCAGTTCACACGGCCGCGGGTGGTGGCCAGAGCTCCCGCGAGTATCCGGTGAGTATACGGCGTTACTGTGGTGATTTGGAATGAGTACCCAAAAAACAAAGGCCAAACAACCAGGGTTCAAGACTACCGTACCATAGTACGACCTCCCAGCCTCATAACTGTAAAAGTGCCCGCAGATGAGTGCATCCGCGGGCAAAAAGGCCATGGACACTTTTGATTCCCGGGGGCAAATTTTGGTCACCCGCAGGAACATCTCCATGGTGACTTTCCTGTAAACGTGGATTTGCCTGTCGTGTGAATCGCCTATAACCCTACTTGTAGAAGTACCGGAGGCATCATATGATGCATTTGCGAATTTCAAAATGGGATTGCTGTTATATGGGGGCTTAAAATCTCCCCAAATTTTGTGACTTTTATTTTTTTTGTATTTTGTTTTAATGGCAGTGGGTTGTGTTTTCAAAAAATTAGTACCGTTCCGAAATGCCAGGGGGTGCTACCTAGAAGTACCGCGCGGCATCATATGACTCCACATGCCATAGGCATCAATAAAAGGGCGAATTTTGCTTATAACCACACGTGAATAACGTGAAGAGGAATACATTTCGGAGCAAGGAGATTGGGGACCATGAAGGTAGTGATTTGTACATATGGACATGCTAATATGCACATTTCACGTGTCGTTATGGTCAATATCGTAATCCCGAATCCTGCCGAAACAGACAAATTTGTTTGTCCTAAGTTTGGAAAGTGATTCACTATGTCATCTGCAGCACAGTACGATATGAAGTGCCAGGACAGTTAAAATATTCTAGGAACGTCCTTTGAGTTTACGTTGGTCTGGCGGAAGCCATGTTCAGTAGGCGCATTTCATTTGATTTTGAAATTTTTGGGAAGGAGGTTGGGGATGAATGCAAGGAGAGTGCCTAGGGCATTGTGCTCGAGCAATTAGAAGTGACCGAACACAGAGACACATAGTTATAATTATGCTCCAGATGAAGATGAGTGAATACATATGTACTTATTGCTCCGGCTTCTCGATCAGTCTGATATGGGACCGGAGTCGGGGGAGCAAGCGGGTAATGGTGGTGATAAAGCTATGGAGCCATACACATAACAGAACATCAATCTCCAAAACTCGTGCAGGATTTCCTTCATGAAGCTGGGTTCTCTGGCAAAGTTGGTAGGTAGTGGAAAATGTGTTGCACCAAGCAAGCGCGAACGCGCGCAACCGGTTGTTGCTTCCGAAGTATGCGGGCTTTTCCGAGATGTTCACAATTTTGAAGATGGGGCAGATGCATTATTTGCATTTATTGACCAGAATATGACCCATGTCATGAACAAGTGCCCAAGGTAGGAGGAAAACAAAAAAATTAATGGAGAGGACTCCACTTTGAGTGAAGGCCATAATATCATGGCATTGGTTTCGCAAATTTACGCAAGAGGCGTCCTCTGTACCCGCAATAATCTGCCGACGGCCCTCCGGCTGGACAGGAATGGACGCCATATAATCAAGTAAAATCCCTAAAAGTAGTTTCCAGGAACTACTCTGCTACTTCAGGTTTGACCACGAAGATGGTCTCCAGACACGACGTCGAACGAATTTTCTGTGTCGATACATTGGGTAAGTTGTCATCAATTTCCGATATCAAATTTCATTCTCTCTCACACCTCACATTTGCAACAGCAAAACCACAGTGCAGGGTCGGCTGCGGACAGCCACATTGCAAGACAAAATAATACAGATAGCAAATAACAAGCTTCGCAAATATTCGAAGTTCGAGAGAACATGGCTTCTCGTTTCTTTCGAATTCTCAACCAACGAGAAGCGTACACATTATGAGCAGAATGACGTCATCAGTGCAACGCGCATCTGTAGTATGTGTTGATCATTAAGAACAAGTGAAATAGTAAATTGTTCTCCCCCTGGCCCCCGCCACACAGCAACACACTGTTCAGTTAGCTTCAATACTAGTATTCACTTCTCAATAGTAAACGGAGAGGGCGCAGTAGGAGAAAGACGAAAACAAGACTCGAGAAAAAGACAACGGAAAAGACACGAAGAAACAACAAAAGAAAGACGAAAACAAGACTCGAGAAAAAGACAACGGAAAAGACACGAAGAAACAACTAAAGAACAAGCAGTCATAAAGCGACGACAAATCCGAACGACCAATCAGGGACTAATACGTACAGAACACATGACCAAGACCAAGACAACCAGACCACGGACGAATCACATAAGACTCTCATTCCCAGACCAAACTAGCACTGCGCATGTACAGCATTCACTTGACAGTCACTCTCACACAGACGGAAGCACATCCTCACACTCTGACAACGCGTACTCTTGCATGCACCACATACCATAAACGTCACACATCACACCATACTCGCACGTACACTTAGACCATATATGACATCAGACACTGGACTCCACCAGACAAGAACCAAATACAACAACATGCGTAAATCATAGTCGTAATACAATTTCGCAACACAAGGACTCTCAGGGGAAGGAGAAATCCATTTGTTCCGTCGTGGATGCTGTATGTCTCCAGGAATCTCCCTGGTCCATCCATCCGCACACGCGGTTATCGGACGCAGCCTGGGTGCTAAATGCCTTGCCCTCTTTGCCCTCCTCTACAAACACTCGCACAATGGC